CTCATAGTTCGACACGCTCTCGCGATCCAAGGCGCTGTCCAGCACCAACGAATAGTAATTCTTGAACGTGGACATGAGCTTGAAAGGGACGTTTGGCGTTAGAGAACAGATCACCTGCCCGTTGGCACCAGAGTCACGGTCGGATACACTGATCAGCGCAATGACAGTGCTAGGCTGGGTGTCCTCTCGTACTGGGAGAGACAGGGAAGTCACGGTGACTTCAGGGGCATTATCATTGGCGTCTAATATTTCTACCCAGACTGTACAGTGACCTGCCATTGGGGGATTCCCTTTATCTGTGGCCTGTACTTCAATTTCATAAAACTTGTTTTCCTCATAATCTAAAGTTCCATTGACTCTCACTTCTCCGTTATTTGCATCTAGTGTAAACAAGAGTTTTCCTTTGGGCTTCACTGACATCAAGGAGTAGTTTATCTCCCCATTGACTCCTTCGTCTGGATCTGTGGCGTTTAGCTTTATCACAAATGTTTCTTTAGCAGCGTTTTCCATCAATCTCACCTTGTATTCTGATTGCTCAAATTCCGGATCATTGTCGTTAATATCCAAGACTTGGATGAAAAGCTGAACGGTGCCAGTGAGCTCTGGTTTCCCCCCGTCTGCAGCTGTCAATAGCAAGTTAAGTTCTGGAGTTTTCTCTCGATCCACATATTTTTTTAATGTAAGCGACAGTCTTTTAGTCTGCTTACTATGTGTTGGTAATTCTAAAGAAAAATACTCATTTTGACTTAGTCTGTAGGTTAATAGAGCATTCTCTCCTATATCCGCATCAGAAGCTCCCTCTAGAGGAAAATGAGAGCCGGGTTGCTTAGATTCAGGAATGAGCAGCTTTTGTTCTTTGAGAGAGAAGACCGGTGGATTGTCATTAATATCCTTCACCTCCACCTCCACATGGAAAACCTGCAGCGGCCTGTCCACGATCACCTCCAGGTGGATGCTACACTCCAGACTCCACCCACACAGCTCCTCCCGGTCGATTCGAGAATTCACAAACAAAATGCCATTCTGCAGATTTACCTCCAGAAGGTCCCCGCGACCCTTCAATGCCACTCGGAACAGGCGTGGCACCAGCTCCGCGAGCTCCAGCCCCAAGTCCTGGGCGATGCGGCCCACGAAGGTGCCGTGTTTGGCCTCCTCCAGGACCGAGTAATGAACTTGGCCGCTGCCAGCCTCCCAGACTGCAAGGAGGAGAAGTGACAGCAGCAGACGCTGAGTGCCCAATCCCCTTCTTTGAGAGCCGAACATCGCATACGACATTGACTTCCAAAATAAGGTTCTTTACACTTACAGCAGCAGAGACTTCGGTTTGGGATTAAGAATCTAGCTGAATTTTTGAGAAGTTTCAAAGAATCCTTTAACAGTAGCGTTCAGCATGATGGAGTCCTTTTTTGGATGGGGCGTTCCTGGCTGTTCAGACCAACCCTTGAAACAACTATTTCCACCAAGTAAAGAGCGACACCTTGCGCCTGAATAGTGAGTACTGTGCACTACATCGTACACGATAGAATTTTACTTAAAGAGAAAAATATAATTAACTTCATGTGCTTCATCTTACTTTATCCCCAAAATAGTATTTCCAAAGTGCTTATTAGTGCTTATTGTGGGAACATTCATAGTATAAGTCATATTGAAAGTGATGGTATGTGGAAAATGACATTTTTTTCTTAACATGAAATTGAATTTTTTGTTCCTACATTTGATTTAGAGTTATACAGTTGTGGTTTTATTTAGCTACATAATACACACAGAGTTTAGTTCTACAGGTATCCTTGTGAAAAACTAGGGTTAAACATTTCCTAAAGATATTGTTTCTCATATTAAAATGTTATCAAATTTGAATTGTTTTACTTCTAAATTCTTTTGTTACTTTGGCTGCTAGGAAACTCAAAGACAAAGTTGAGGTATTAGTAACAACTCTTGAGTCCTTAAGTTTTGTATGTTGTGTTCTCATCTCTGTGTACTTGCCTTCTATTCATACCTATTTTCTTTAGTTGCAATTCTTTTTGTTATTTACATTTAATTGCATTTGTTGCAAGCAATCTTATATCCATTAAAAAAATGTTTTCAAATTTAGTGTGTAAAACAGAATTCACAATGGAAAAGTTTATTGATAGAGGTGAAATTTATATTTGACATACATGATTTATTAGGGAGGTTACTTTGCTAACAGTATAAGATGAGGTATCAAATGACACTTTATGTGATGGTGTCAATGATATGGAAGGAGGTGTCTTTCAATTATAAAATAAATTTTATTAGAATTCAATGAAATAAATAAAAGTCACCATAAAAATCTGTGGGTCATATTGGTATTTCCAAGTGACCAACATTGGTTTTTATCTGTCAAGATATATTCATGAAAATAGCTGGCTTTTTTTTTTCTATCACTTAACAAATGCTTATTAAGCACCTCTGAGTACCAGGCACAGGAAAGGACCAAAGAGACAATACAGTTGATAGGAAATTCCATTAGAGAGGGCATAACCTGAGCATGGAAGGCTTAACCAGCACATTAAAGAACTGGACTTGACCTTGGTGGCATTGGGGAGCCATTGGATGTGCTGGACCAAAAGAGTAAAGTTAGACTTCGGAGAGCTGAGACTGGTGAGGTATGCAAGGTGGACTGAAGGGAAGAAGACTAGAACCCAGGAGAACAGCAGGGAGCTGTTGTAGCATTGTAGGTATGACATGAGGTAGGCTAGCACATAGCAGAGTTCCCAGCACACAGTGGGCATTCAATAAATTGTTGAATGACCTGTTTCTTGTTGAAAGAATTTTGGGTTTGGGACCATAAGTTTATTCAAAACAAGGGGAAAGATTTTTAATTATACTTCCTCTAAATGCATATTACTGAGTTAAACACACACACGCACATAAAATGATCAAACATTTCAACCATAAGCCAAGTGATTTTAATGTTTGTGTAAATTCGGCTTCATAAAATACCAAGTAGAAAATAAGAATTGTTGATATGAGTTATCATTGCCTGAAGATATAACTCAGTTATGTGTCTTTGTCTTTTCATGTAGCCTTGGATTTAAGGGTGTCAAAAGAGAAGCCAATGGAAATTTAAAGTAGAAAGTGATTTAGAATAAATATCACTCTAGCTTGAATATTTTGTTGTATGGTTGATGATTCCTCCCCAATTTAAAAATATTAAAATAGCACAAGAAAAAAAATACTATTATATTTGTTTGCATTTTAGTATTTTTCTTTATCTTGAATGCACACAGACACTACTGCTAATTTCAGATTTTGTTTCATTTTTTTCAAATTTACTCTTTTCCCCCATATTATCATCCTGCTAGAACTCTTAGTAAATAGAAAATTCTTTCTTGGGGCACCTTTCTTGGGCACCAGAAAGAAGCCTCTGCCTTCGACTTGGGTCATGATCCCAGGGTCCTAGGATCGAGCCCCCCGTTGGATTCTCTGCTCAATAGGGATCCTGCTTCCCCCTCTCTCTCTGCCTGCTTCTCTGCCTACTTGTGGTCTCTGTCTGTCAAATAAATAAATTAAATCTTTAAAAAAAGAAACTTCTTTCTTATAAAACTAATAAGGCAAGCAGACTTGTCACTTTTTATAACACAACATTATCTTATGCATCCATGAAACAATCAGTTATAAGGGCCTCTAATCAAAATATAACATCAGACTCCATTAACAGTAGACTTAACATACTGTCTGAAGCCTGTCAGATTTATTTTAGAGAAAAAGGAAGCAAGAGATCTCCAACCTCTTCATTATGGACTTTGGGGATTGAGATGGTATACACAATATGGAATCCTCAAAGGTAAATACAGAGATGAACAACAGAAAGTACACCCAAAGTAAATAATATTACAAGTCTGAACTAAAACCAGATGTTAATTTAGCAATTACTTTCCAGTAATATGTTATTTTTTTAGTATATGAAAGGACACTGGATGAACAGCAAGTTCTAAAAGAGTCTGATATATTGTATAAACCAGTGACTCATCTTTTGCATTTTAGCTATGATATTTCAGATAGCACCATCTCAACTAATTCATACAAAAGAGATTATGCTATCTTTGGACTCATCTTTAGGGATAAGCTTGAGATCTGACAATAAGCAAATGCGAAGAAGTTCACATCAATATTAACACTGATTTTGTAAAATTGATTGAAAACCTGAAGAACTTTGTGCCAGAGTTTTACTAACCCAAACTGGTCAGTCTTTCTTTAAGATTTATTTATTTATTTTAGAGAGAGAGAGAGAAAGCGTGCAGGGGGAGGGGCAGAGGAAGAGAATCTCAAGCAGACTCCTCACTGAGCATGAAGCCCAAGGTGGACCTCCACACCAGGGGCCCCTCATAGAGCCCTCGTTGGATCCTATGACCATGGGATGACGACCCCAGAGGAAACCAAGAGTCAGATGCTCAAACGACTCAGCCACCCAAGCATCCCAATCTGGTCAGTCTTAAATTTATTTTTCTTTTAATATTTTATTTATTTATTTGACAGGGAGACACACAGCGAGAGAGGGAACATGAGAGCAGGGTGAGTGAGAGAGGGAGAAGTGGCTTCTCGCCCAGCAAGGAGCCCTATGCGGGGCTTGATCCCAGGACCCTAGGATCATGACCTGAGCTGAAGGCAGATGCTTAATGACTGAGCCACCCAGGTGCCACTAGTCTTAAGTTTCTACTGTATATCCTGCTAGTCATGTATTAGAGTACATGGTTTAATATTCTATTAGTCCTCATCATTTGCTAATACAGCATAACAGGTCTAGTAATATTTTTATTGAAAACAACAGAGAAACAAATCTTGAAACCATTCTTGGAAACTCAGGAGAGTCTTCAAAATCAATAGATTAAAAATACTATCCAACATTGTATTAACAAAATTATAGGAGATACTCATTGATGTTCACTCTTTGCTATCATGGCTCATTGAAGTATACACAGTTATATGATCACAGATCATTTGTTCAGTCAGCACAAATCTCACAGACAACAATAAAACTGAAGAAGACTGAATTCTCAAATACCCACACACATTCAAAGATTTTCATGGGAGGGACACCTGGGTGGCTCAGTCAGTTAAGCATCTGCCTTCAGCTCATGTCATGATCCCAGGATCCTGGGATCAGGTCCCATGTCAGGCTTCTTGATCAGCAGGGAGTCTGCTTCTCTCTTTGCCTGATGCTCCCTCTGCTTGTGCGTGTGTGTTCTCTCTCTGACAAATAAATAAAATATTTAATAAAAAAAGATTTTCATGGGAAATGTAGACCTTTTAAGCTGTTACTGAAGTATACAATTTTGGAAACACTTATTGAATCTTTTGTTGATATCCAGAATCCTGGAAATAATCATATTACCACTTAAAATTGTCCAAACATTATCGTTATTCACAACCTAAAAAGGACAGAGTTGGGGTTCCTGGGTGGCTCAGTGGGTTAAAGCCTCTGCCTTGGGCTCAGGTCATGATCCCAGGGTCCTGGGATGGAGCCCCACATCGGGCTCTCTGCTCAGCCGGGAGCCTGCTTCCCTTCCTCTCTCTGCCTGCTTCTCTGCCTGCTTGTGATCTCTGTCAAATAAATAAATAATTTTTTTTAAAAAAGGACAAGGTCATTTTCATATCTGTCATTCGGCTTTGGTGTTCTGCTAGAAGGTTGCAGATCAGTCTTCCGGGTTTTCTCATATATTAAATTATTCTTCTTATTTATATTATCTCCGAACAATGGATACCTTGTCCCTACAATAGCAACTCTTCATTATCTACATTATCTACATTACATTGAACGATGTAAAGACCTGTCCCAATGTGACACTACAACAAATGATAATGATGCTCATGAACATCTTCTGAGAAAAAAGTCACTTAACACAAAATAAAACCTCAATTCTTATCTCAATTACAGCATTGTAACAAAATTAACTATGAGGATAATCATAGTTTTTGAAGAAGGTTTTTTCTTAAGCAAAACAGAAAGAAGGATTCTCCTGTATATACTTTGTGCTTGATTTTCTTAGCCACAACTATGCCTGAGCAGAGAAAAAATTACTGTAGAAAACTCTACAGTGAATAAAAGGATGGCTCTAGAGGCCCTGGTGGCTCAGTGGGTTAAATCCTCTGCCTTCGGCTCAGGTCTTGATCCCAGAGTCCTGGGATCCAGCCCCGCATCAGGCTCTCTGCTCAGCAAGGACCCTGCTTCCTCCTCTCTCTCTGCCTGCTTCTCTGCCTACTTGTGATCTTTGTCTGTCAAATAAATAAATAAAATCTTTAAAAAAACTTTAATTAAAAAAGGATGGCTCTAGAATCTAAAAGATATATCTTTGAATATCATTTTTACCATGTACTAGCTGGATGGCAGTAGACAAGCTAGAAAATTATCTTACCATCTCTTAGTTCATCTTTAAAAT